TTTTCATAACAAAAACATATGAAAATTACACGTAACACGAAACTCGGACCCCTCATTTCCTAGAGCGCCCCTCATATATGAAATTAATCAAGATAATTAATGATAGAGATTATATACGAAATTAATCACTGACAGTGGTGAATATTAACGGGCAATTGGTTGGTCCATGGTTTACAACCTCACAATCTTCCCCTTTTTTAAATGGGTCATCCTATATACAGAAAGGTTCTTTTTATGAAATATACAGAACCTATGTGACAAATATTTAGAGTTGGTAAGAATTCCATAAAGACAATCGAATAGTAATTATGTTCCTTCTAAACGATCTATCGGGCATTCCTAGTATTTCTAATGATACTCATCAAAACTTTGCTAAAGATAATAAGGCAAATTAAATTTATCTGATGGCTAGAACATATAATTTCTACGATTTTTTATTAGATTTAAACTGTTCAGGCCAATTGCTATTATTATTGTTATTGAGTTTAATTTGGAAATAGTTTTATTTTATTTTTATTATTTATTCAAAATTACTATTAACACTTTCTAATCATCGTCCTCGTCATCTCTATTTCTACATTTTCTAATACATCTAAATATGCGATTACAACTTCTATATCTATTTGTACATTGTCGTACACAACGCACACAACCACGATTGCCACGACCTCCACGACCTCCACGACCTCCACTTCCTCCACTTCCGCCTCCACCACCTCCACGACCTCCTTGTTGATCTTTAACATTTTCATCGTCATGATCACTGCTGCTTGGTTCATCAGATGATGATAATGAATCGATTGATTCATTTTCAGCATTTTGTGCAATACAACTGCCAAAGGTGTCAGAAAGACAAGATCCATGATTTTTTTCGTCATCTTCTTCATGATTTTGTTCCTCTAGATCGTCATTAAGATAGGGTAAGTCTTCTTTTTTAGTGTTAGTGGTGGTAATTGATGAAGAAGGAAGAGAAGCCAACGCATTTGTTAGACTTAGAGTTAACAAAATAACAAAAATTAATCGTATAATAAACATTTTGATTTAATGAAAATAAAATTTTTTTGATGTTTTTTGGTGGATAGAGAGGAGTATTTTTTTGTTCTTTAAATAGATAAAAGTTTTCGTAATTTTGATGGAAAAATTAATTATTTGGAAAAAGTTAATCAAATGCTTATTTTTTTTTTTTTTTGATTAAGAAAATATTTGATTAACTTTTAATCCTTAATTAAATTTTTTTGTTAACAATGAATTAAATTTTATCAAAATAACCAATTACACAGAACTGGTTCGAATCACATAATAATAATAATAATAATAATAATAATAATAGATCGAAATTTATATTTCTTGCTCAAAAAAAAAAAAAAAAATCACATATTATAATATTTGACATTATACATCTTGAATAAACATTGTATCGTTTTGAAATTAAGCATAAATTTTTGAAAAATTAATTCGAAAAGTTTTAAGCTCAAAGATGTCATTTTAATTGAAAGTCAACGTGGCGGAATTATCAGTTTTATAAAAGCAATGCACCTACCTACCTAGAATTTTATCTTGTACTATTTTTTAAAATTGAATTGGCCGTAAACAAAGAAAATCAAACACAGGAGGGTATAATTCAAAAAAGGACAGCTTTACACTGAAAACCTTTAAAAAATAGTAAATGTTTTTATGGCTCGTACAATTCGAATATTTGATTGTTCGCATGTCTCAAACCCGAACATTCAAGCTTTAATATTAATATAGTATTAGTGGATAACAAGCAAATTCAATAATCACTGGCTTTTCTTCTTTAGTTTTAGATAGTAAGTTGATTTCTTTTTTAAATTCTTACAATTTAATGCTTAACCATTTCCCAGGAATTATTAATAAGAGCCATTCTAGCTATATAAAAAAGATGATAATAAAAAATAAAATAAAAATATAATGATAAATTATCAAAAGCTACTTACTTGGACGTGACAACAAATTTATCGAAAATCTAGAATAAATCGATGAAATTTTTTAATTTTAATCTTGATCCAATTTACAATATTTTTCTTTTATATTATACTTTATATAAAATAATATTACTGTTACTAAAGAAATATTCAACTTAAAACTCCTTGTAAGCCAGATAACTTATTTGGCTAATGCGGAGCTTTAATGAAAATTTAATAATTAATAACAAGATTTTTAAAAATTCGTTGAAACGCGAATTTAATTATAATTCACTGGGACGAAGTTCGTTAAAACGAGGGTTTGGCTGTACAAGCTTCTTATAAAAGTGGTGGTGGCGGTCATCGCCCGCCACTCGTCGTCAATCTAGTTAATTAATAATTGTACCTATCATTATTCACGTTCTTTTTCTTCTTACAATGTGAACAGTCAAATTAAAGGGAAGGAAAGAAAGATCATAGACTTTTTCAAATATAATAATAACTCACCAGACATAAAACTATCGGATAATCAAAAAATAGTTTATGACCTAGTTGTTAATAAACGCGAGAGTGTCCATATATTATTATTATGGTGCCCTTTTTCCTATAAAAAAGGAAACGATGTAATGAAAAATTTTGCTATATATTACTTTTTTTTTATATTAAAGTTTATAAAGATTTTTTCATTTTGATGGTTTTAGAAACCTTTTAAGCAATTTAATTGCGGGAGGTATCTATAGAATATTAATATGTTTATTTTGCATAATTTTTTAATAGGTAAAAATATTACAATTACAAACTTTCAATCTAGAACAGTGCTACGGAGAGAGAATCTTAAATCTTTCCATAGTTTTAGAATATAATATATATACTACTTTTCATGCAAATTTTGGTACCCATTAATATAGATAAGAAGAAAATGTTCCGGTTTAATGGTAATAGATAAATCGTGTCTTATATAAAATAACCTCAAAATTTTATAAAAAAAAAAAAAAAATAAAATCATTCAAAAATATATTTTTTATATATATATAATATATATTAATATATACACAGAATAAAAAAAACAAAAAAATAAAAAACATAAAATCGAATATTATTATTTATTATAGGTATGAGTGATTATGATTATTCTACACTTCCTCTGACCAATAATTTTCATCTTTAGATAATACTATAAATCATTATAATCCGAATCAATATTCACCACCACCACCACCACCACCACCACGAAATACTCAAATGTTTCCAAATTATCAAAATATTGTTGCCGCTGCCGATGTCACCAATACTACCGCAAACGTCGACGTCACATTTTCCATTGCCAGCGGTAACAATATGAAACCTTCAGTCTCGACTCCATTATTAAATGATCCTTCTCACAAAAGCAATAATGATATTATTTGGTTCTTGGAACGTCTTGAAAAACGTATTGGCCAAATGGAAAAACATAGAAATTTGCAAGCAACAATTTATCACAAAATAATATTTTCGATAATGGCCTTTATAATTATAATAATGATATTAGTAGTGGTAATATTAGTAGTGAAGATATTTACAATCTTTTGAGCAAACTTTTTATTCGTGTAGAACGGTTGGAAATCAACGTTGATCGAAATCTTTCCGAGTTGAATAAAACCTTATCAAAATAAATAATTATTTTTATTTTTTTTTTCAAATACAATATTTCTTTTTTAATATTTCGTTATCACTATTTCATTATTATTATTTTATTATTGTTATTTCATTATTTTTATTTCATTATTATTATTTTTTAAAACGTTATGATTATACATTTAATGAGAGAATGAAGGTGGCCATTGAAATCTCCCTTTAATTACTTTTTTTAAAAAAATAAATATTTATCTAATTCTAAACCCCTGTAAAAAATGACAACACTCCAGAATATTTCCATTATATCTCCGTGATCATGTTCGTCACTCCGTAAATGTTCAGTTTATTTCATAATAATAAAAGCAGCACAATTAAGTAAGCAATCCGAATTTTTTCCATGATGTCATTTATATTAACTTGTAAATGTGGAATTAATACAGAATGTGAGGATAAGATTTTATAGTTCTGGAATATTATTGAGTGACTGATAAAGTCGCAAATAACAACAGAACTTTTTATTATTAAGTAACTGATAAACTCGCAAATAAAAATGGGCATTTTTTCTTTCATTTTATTTGTTAAATATAACTTGATTAAAACATGTTAATACACTAGTATGGAAAACGCACGGAAGATATTATTACTATTTTAATATGCAATTAATTAACTAGTCGCATGACATTTCAAAATTTTTTGACGCGTCCAAATGTAAGTATAAATGCAAATAGTTATATTGTTATAATATTTATAATATTTATACAGTTTAAAATTTCTTTTACGTTTTAAAATAATTAGATAATATGAGCAAGCGACAATAATATAACAATTGTCAAAAAAGGAAAAGAGAAATGTAAAGGATATTTAATATTATTGTTATTATTAAAATGCGTCAATGGATCGTGATTTAAAATCAATATTAAATAACATTACTAAATATCAACTATAAATAAGTTTTAAATATTATCTGCAATAGAATTCAGGCTTTCTTTCGAATCTAAGGTTACTCAATTCGATCAAGTACTTACCAAGATACAAAAATATATGGTAATAGGTAAAGAGCGTTTTTTTTTTTTTGGATTTTAAATACTTGTATGGCATTTCAAATAATCAAACTCGTTTATCATATAACTAGAGAAAGCATTTATCAAGTATATTTACAAAACTTGCTTTCCAAGCTTTGTAGATCTCATCTGGTGTTGATTAATTGGTTTTAGAGAGATTCATAAAAAAAAATAGTTTTATGGACCTAAGTAATGGTAACATGTTTTTTTTTAATATTACTTTTGTACCTATTTTTATATTAATATTTTATATGTGTATTTAGGAATGTAATAATTAAATCAAAAGGTATTTCTTTTTCCAAAGGTTAATATGGTTGAACGAAATCAGAAAAAATTGTTATGTGACCATGATATATTCTTGTAAGAAAGAATTGTTACTCGTCCATATTTTATTTATTATTAATTTAATTATTTTTAGAAAATTCAACATCAAAAATTCTAGTTGATATATTCTTGTAATATCAATTATACTACTAATTATTAATCACTTTTTTTAGATATGGTAGTGTACGATCAGAAAGAATTGTTATCACAACAACAACTAATTTGGTTGTATAATGTTATTGCAAGAATATATCAACTAGAATTTTTGATGTTGAATTTTCTACCTATTTTCTAAAAATAATTAAATAAAATATGGTCACACTAATATTATTCTTTTCATTGTTTTAGAAGGGGAACATGCAAACCAGCTTGCAGTAAGATTTCTATTTATTTATTTACGCTTTCAATTTTAAAAAAATTTTCTAACCTAGTCTTAATACTTTCATATCAATTATAATTCTGTTCAGAGATATGGAAAACTTCAAACAGAAATTGTCACATACAAATTTTCATGTTGCTGTATGTACATTACTAATTCATAACCTTTCAAAATTTACCTATTTTATCATGTTAATAACATTTAAAGATGGGAACCGCAATTAGCTGCAATTCCATTTTCATTAATTGAGTAGCCATCTTTAGTAGACCACTTGAAAATTTATTTATTAATTAAATTTATTCAAGAATTTTTCCATTTTATAATTGATTTATTTAGTAAATGCTCAGTCTTTTATCCGAGTTTTATCCATTTTATTAATTGATTTATTCAGTAAATGCCCAGTCATTATCTGAGTTTTATCCATTTTTGATTGTGTAACTTTATTATTATTACAACCTTTCTTCTAATTCTCTAATTCGAAAACTAAAAACAAAATTTGTGAATATTACTCACCTTTGTTCATTACCAATCAAGAAATGATTGTTAAAATAAAATAATTAAAATAAATAAATATTTTTACAACGCGTTATTAAAACCAAGATTCTATTATTGCTATAAACTAAAGTATGTTTCATATTATATATATATGTTGATTTGTTTATCTTGAACCTATTACCTATTATTTAACTATTACTATCTTTAATTATTTTTATTTTTCAGTATTCTTTACCTAAAAGTCAATTTTTTAGCCAATAAGGCCAAAAAAGCTACTATCAATTCTAATATTATGGTCACTGATGTCACTGACCAATATTGCTTAGGTTATGTCATAACCGTGAAAAATGAGTCAGGTTACACGATCAAAATCATAGTAACGATAAATTAATTTATTCAAAAATGGAACTATAGATTACATGATACATTTATTATTATGGAACTAGAGTAACGAGTTACATCAATAATCACCACCACCATTGAAAGATTTTCTTTTAGGAAACAGTTGGAATTATTA